GGAATGGGCGACAAAAACGGTTCAAGCCTTTTCAGAGTTGCCCGGATACCCGGAATGGCCGTCAACGAAGACCCTCGTCCACCTTGTACATCGGATCTCATCTCGGTTTATCTGTACCCGGTGTTTGAAGTCCGGACCAAAGGCAACGAGAAACAGGAGCTTCACCTTTCGCCAGGCAGCTCATCATATATGCATAGTTTCTGAGAAGGGGAATAAGGATCAGTGGTCGCCGAGGAACTTTGTGGTGGATACCAAAGTATGCCCTCCCAGCCTATGCTAGATTTGTACTGAACGTGTGGAAAGGCTACCGCCGTCATTACCCGGGTTTTGAAGGCTGCCGGTGTAGACGTCGAAGAGCAAACCGCGGCTGTTTCGCAGGACATCATGTGTCTATCATGTTCTGGTTTCATAGTGATGGGTTTTGACGCCATGGTAGGTCTAGTGGTTTAATTCGACGAATGCCACCTGGATTTACCTTGTGCAATCACCGCAGGTGCAACACTCTCATCGACATGATGACATGCAATTTAAGTTACCCGCAGAAGAGGAATTGGCCAAATTTTCGGACTATCCTGCAACTCCCGGCATCACGGCGCAACTCATGCAAGCAGACCAGGAGATGAAGGAACGGAGGCAAAAGGCAAGTTTCGCATGTAAACACTGTGTTCCAAATCCGCGTGAGTGCTCGACAATGTGTGTGTTTGGGGGGGGACCTTGTTCAATTTCCCTTATGCATAGTCGCCGTCCGAGAGGCGGAGGGGAATCCTGACGGAAAAGTCCCACAGTCTAAAAAGAAGTCAAAGGCGTTCAACTTTGACGGGCTGCGTTGTCATTTGAAGGAGAAGTGGGTGATGCATGTTGCCTCGTCACGTTTCCTAACTCACCGGTCTCACAGACACAAAGTGGAAGAGATAGCAGACGAGGACTTCCTCGTGTTCAAAGAGTCTCTTAAGGAATGGGGGGCATAACTTCTGCACCCATACTTCGCCCGACGCCAGGACACTGGACACTCGGATCACATAATATCAGCCGACGTCAAACGACTGCCGATTTGTAACTTCGCATCGGACGATGTACTCGATCATGCTCAGCTTCCCAACTTCTCTGTCGTCCGCCTGTCTGTAGAAACATGCTGCTTGCTGAGTATAAAAATTCTCTGCCAAATGAACTCTTGACTTTGTCCTTTTCTCGTTCAAACACTGAAATACGACACTCCTTGCTCGACGTTCCTTCAACATGGTGTTCTCAACACCACTCGCCACGCTCATTACACTCTCTACTCTCATTACTTTTGCATCCGCTGTCACCATCCAGAAACCTCTCTTGCAATTGCCTGCGGATGCAGCTCAGAACCGCCAAACCGTCAAGGAGATGTTTCTGTACTCTTACAATGCATACAAGTCAGTCTTCCCGCACGGCGCGGTGGTAGCCCATCCCCTCACGGTGTTAGCAGGAACGACGCGTGGGGTCATGATGACGTTACTCCAATCAGTCAAGGGTTCGCTGACGACCGCAACGGGTGGGGTGCGACAATAATTGACTCCTTATCCACTATGGTGAGTTCTCCTTCTCTCTGCGTAGCGGTAGTTGATCGCCGCTCTCCATAGTATATCATGGGCCTCGATGTTCGTAACGGACATTCACACGCAGCATGCGGTGTCTCGAGTTGACTCTATCGCAGGATCTCTTTCAAGATGGTGTTGGATTTGCAAGCAATGTCAGCTTCACTAAATCACGCACAAATGATACGGTCAGGTCCGTACTGCCTGGCTCACGATTTCGCTCGCGAAGGCTGAATCGATACTCTGTTTGCATTCAGCGTGTTCGAGACGACCATTCGTTACCTCGCTGGTTTGCTCAGTGCTTATGAATTGAGCAACTCCAAATACCCTGCCTTACTTACCAAGGCAACGGAGATTGCGGACACCTTGTCCCATGCGTGGGTTGGGGTGCGTTCGGTTGTGGCTGGTAGCTGAATATAGAACTGACTAAAGTTAACCAAAGGCCAACGCGATCCCCTATGGTCATATGAACCCGGATAACTCTCCCATTGTTCAAGTGGTACGTCATAGTGTCTGTGGACATGCTTCGCATTCACTTACCCATCTGAACCAGTCGAACATCGCAGAAGCCGGCAGTGTGAGTACGCGTATTGTGCGACGGTCGATGTAGTTTACTGACAAACGTGGTGCAGCTCTCGTTGGAGTGGTACACCTTAAGGTAGGATGATGACGCCTCAGTTCGAGACCTACGATTCAAACTCAAATCATAGCAAGTACACTTACAACCCAATCTATGCTAAGCTTGGGGTGGGTTCCGCAAGGCAGATCGCAACTCAACCTCACCCCTTGCCGGGTAAGTACTCTCGTGGTCGTGCAGCACTTCACGGATGCTGATTGCCGATATTTTCTAGGACTCGCCGCACAAGGGATTGATCCATCAACGGGTACCCCTGTTGGTGACTATGTGGTATGTAAACACCCGCCCATTTTTAGTCACATTCCTTAGCTCGCGAGGTTACAGACCTGGGGAGGAGGGTCAGACAGTTACTTTGAGTACCTCATCAAGTATGCGCGCTTGTCCAACACGTTTGACTCCCTATGGGCGCAAGAATGGGCGACTGCGGTCGATTCTTCAATCAATCTGCTCTCCTCGGTGAGTGCCGTTTGTACCGCTTCGTTCCTTATACTTATTGTCTGCAGCGGTCCGGAGTAGGTGATTGGCTCTACCTAGCGGATTGGTACGGGGGAGGAACCAAGCGACTCATCGGTTCGCACTTGGCCTGCTTCAATGCCGGAAACATCATCTATGTAAGCACATCTGTGCATTCTCGTCCGGCTGAAACTCATCCCCTGTGGAACGAAGGGCGGAAAACTGCTGAACAACCAAACCATCGTCGAGTTCGGATTAGAACTGAACGAGGGTTGCTGGAACACTTACGCCAGTTCACCGTGAGTATTTACTCACTGCCGCACTTGAGGGAGGCTCTGCTTACCTGCACTAGGACTGGAATCGGCCCCGAGACCTTCGGTTGGAAAACTTCAGGCGGTAACTTCTCCGGACCCGCTCTCACTTCGGAACAGGAGACGTACTATCAGGTGATGCTTACGGTGCTCTGTCTCTGTGCCGGAACTGATACTGTCTCTAGAAAAATGGATACTACCCTGAATCTACTGATTACTACCTCAGACCCGAGGTCCTCGAATCGAATTTCTATGCCTGGCGAGTAACCGGTGACCAGAAGTACCAAACTCGCGCCGCTAGTGCTATGACGAGTTTCCAGAAGTACTTGCGGATACCTACTGGAGGATATGCTGGGATCTGGGACGTCACTATGCCTGATGCTATATCCTATATTGACACCACAGAGAGCTTCTGGTATGCCGAGGTGCTGAAGTATTTGTAAGCCTTCTGCTCCGGATCGTCTGGTGCACACGTTCTTAGTCCCCGCTCTAGGTACCTGACGTTCGACGATCCATACCGCATCAGTCTTGATGATTGTGTGTGACCAACGCCATTATAGCCTTCATACCACTGATACAGATTGTCTTTGGCAGGGGTTTTCAACACCGAGGCGCACCCCTTCAAAGCCCCACCAGCCAAATCCACCTATAACGAGGGGGTTTCTTCACCCACGCCAACTGTGCCTTTCACCGTCCAACAAGACGTCCCCGTCGCACAAATCAGTCCCTGTCCCGCACTCGGCGACCTCCTCACCAAGGTCATCACCGATGTGGTTTTCGGTGCCGTGGAAAATCTCCTTGAAGGGTTGGTTCTGTAGGCCCTCACAGGGTCTTTCTTGGCTTTGCACATGGGGCGGCCTGTAGACACATCTCTTGTTGGTTCGAAACTTGTCGAGTCTATTAATGGACACCTTGTACCGAGCGGTGTGGCCAACGTTAAATCGAACCCTTCCTGAGTTTTCCTACTTGTACTAACGCAGTCTTGCCGGTGAAAACAGCGACAATCCCAAGCCCGGCACCGTAAAGTAGGACCTGACCCAACCTCAAGTCGACCCAGTACCAGACCAGCAAGAGTTCGAAGGCTCCCAAAGTGGCCGTGAACGGTATAATTTTGAGGGAGAATAAGTTGGGAACTTTTGGTGAAAGTTGTGACCACTACACAGGAACGTCATCTCAGCCAACATCTACGTCGAGTCTACGGAAAGCACATACCAGTCCGACGAGGACCACCCAAGGTGCAAGCACGAGTGCCGAGAAGACAGCGGAAATGAACGCTGGTGGGGTCTTCTGCTCCGGGCGGAAAGTGTGTTCAATAACAGGCTGTGGATGGTAATAGACTTCCTCGGGATGTGATGCAACGGGTTGTGATGCAGGGACGATGAGATCGAAGAGGTCGACCGCGAGAGGTTTGTGCACAAATGACCCGATGATAAGTGACACCTTCAGCACCGAGTCGGGGGAGGTTGGCGGGAAGGAACTTGGGGGACGAGCCATATTCTAAATGGTGTCAGGTAAATATAGAATCCGGGATGAATCCAACTCACCAGTTCGAACCTGGCTTTCCCGTTGCTCGTAACTCTGACGGGTTGGAGACCGTCCTCTCCAGAGATGTTGTCATAGAACCTGAGAAATGCCTGGTGCGGCTGCACACCAGTTCCGCCATCATTCTCAGTAACCTGGAAAGTGACCCTCAGGACGTCTTGTGGGCCGAGCCGAACTGGCGAGGATTTTTTGGTCAACGAGATACTAGAGTGCACGCGTCAACTTTGACTGCGCTCGCTAGCCACAACCAGGAGATCGGCGGTAACACATACGGCTCTGAGCGTATCTGATCCCCATTCGGAGAAGAGACAGTGAATTTCGGGGACTGGAGGGCTAGGGCAGCCGCATACGTCGAGGCGACGAAAGCGAGAAGCACCACCAGCATTGGGGACTTCATGATGATGAAAGGAGTTGACGAGGTGACGACCCGATCGCGTGCCACGTTTGGGTTAGTATTGTCGACGAGCGCAATTCGCTTTGGTGGCTAAAAAAATTAGACCCCACCGTGGTTCGAACACGGGACAACACGATCTGCAATCGTATGCTCTAACCACTGAGCTATGGAGTCTGAAGGGTACTGTGACTGTATATTTATATCCTCCTTTTCTTTCCCTGCACATCAGATTGAACGCGTACGCGTCAGCTTCAATTGATCTACTCAATATCCACTTCTCCCACCATGGCCGACGTTGAAATGAAACCCGCGGATTCCGCCCAGGATAAACCTGAGGATAAGAAAGATACCAAAGATCAGACTCCTCCCCTCACCCCAGGCGCTGAAATTAAGGCGAACCTCGCACTTATCGAAAAGGCTGTCTGGTCGTTAGAACCCCGGTTCGCTCATCGAGTGCTTCGTTCCTTCACTGCCTTGAGGAAGAAGCTCGACGACGGAGTCCTTCGAGAGGCTATTCAAGATGCCTACCCCACTGGTATATAACATTTATTGCACCTCTTCCGTAGATGTCTAAAACGGTTGTAGATTCTTCCGTAAAAGCTTCGTTGCTTTCATGGTTGCCCGAAGCCCCGGCAAAGGAATCTATGGATGTAGACGAAGTCTCGACAACCAAATCCCCTGCATCGGATCCGGTGCCGGAAGTTCAGATCTACCTTCAACTCCTGCTGATCCATCACCACTTGAAAACCCCGGACACATACCCGAAAGCAGTAGCTCTCGCGCAAGAAACCATTGCAAAAATGCAGGCTCTCAACCGCCGGAGCATGGATCCGATCGCTGCAAAGGTCTGGTACGTCGTGGAAAGGACGTACGAACTCGCCGGAGATTTAGCAGAGGCTCGTCCGTATGTCTTGTTCCACGACTTGCCTGACGACAGAACTGACGGTTCACCAGATTATTTCTTGCCGCTCAGAGAACTGCTTCCCTCCGTCACGACGACGAGACCCAAGCGTCACTCATCAACCGATTGCTTCGCAACTACCTTCACTATAGTCTGTACGACCAAGCTGACAAACTTGTGTCAAAGACTACGTTCCCAACTTCCGCGAGCAATCCACAGTTTGCCCGTTACCATTATTACCTTGGGCGCATCAAGGCTGTTCAGCTTAACTACACTGAGGCCCACACTAACTTGAGACAAGCCATCAGGCGTGCTCCACCTGCAAAGACTGCCCCCGGATTCTATCAAGCAGTTCACAAGCTTTCCGTAGTGGTTGAACTCCTCATGGGTGATATCCCTGACCGCGGCCTGTTCAGGCATCCTGTTCTTGAGAAGGCACTGAGCGGGTACTTTGATATCGTCAACGGTGGGTTCATTCACAGTTACGGGAATCCGCTGTTGAATTTAGTCCATCAGCTGTCCGAGCCGGTTCTCTATCACAGTTCCAAGCAACTCTCTCGCAAAATTCTGCCCAGTTCGAGACCGACAAGACATATACGTTGATAGGGCGCCTCCGACAAAACGTCATCAAGACTGGTATCCGTCGCCTGTCTTTGTCATACTCACGGATATCCCTCCGAGACATTTGCTTTAAGCTTCATCTGGATTCAGAGGAAGATGCAGAGTACATTGTTGGTAAAGCTATCAGGGATGGTGTCATCGAAGGCCGCATTGTGCACGAGCAGGGATGGATGGAATGCGACGGCCAGAAGAGCGGGTATGGCCCCGAGGTCAGCGAGGTGTTCGGAAAGAGGATATCATACTGCCTCGAACTGCATAATCAGAGTGTCAAGGTCAGTTCTCTATGCATAACGTTGATGCTTCGGCAGTCTAACGAGTGCCCTCAAGGCTATGCGGTACCCGCTCAATGCTCATCGGAAAGAGTTAGCTGCTGCCGAGGGTGCTCGAGAGAGGGAGAAAGAACTGGCAAAGGAAATCCAAGAGGGTGGTGACATTGACGATGACGATGTTGGGGCTGGCGATGCATTTTAGAAAGTCTTGTAATATCGTGTGTGCAGAGGGATACAAATTCACTTCCGTTGCATCACCGATCCGGGCGCCGATCTGACTGATCGAAAGTTAGTTCGTGTATGTCTTCGAGCCTCTTCGCTCGAATTTGGCGTCGAATACGATCACCGGTAAGTTCTTGCCTTCTACTCGTGGGCCGAATACCTTGCGCTCAACTTCCGTAAGACTGGGTATGTCGGTAAGGATCTCGAGGGTGCGTGAAACCAACGGACCAGGAGTCATGCGATCATGACCTCCGAATGCAGGCAACCGCTACTTTGAGCATTTCAACCCAATTCCTGGTGAGGCAAATCACATTTCGGGCTTCAAAGCTTCGTCACTTACAAGAAATTGTTCGAACGTTGCATCTTTCAGATGGCCGGACACGTCGAGTGGTGAAATACCGTAGGGGGGTTGAGGTGTGGGAGCATGTCAGTGGGGTGAGACGACTACCAGGTCCGTATCTGACCTACGATGATCCCGAGAACCTTAACCCTGACCACTCTTGACAATAGCCCAGTGGACAGCTTGGCTTTCACACACACGTCAGCATCACCCTACAATACAAGTATATCCCCTGGCCATTGTCGTGTTTTTCCGAAAACTGAATCCGGAGTTACAGGAACTGATAGCCGATGCCGCAAGGATTGAGTTGACCCGGCGGAATGCCGCCCAACTGGAGGCAAAAGCCGCCGACGAACGTGCTCAGCTTTTTGCTTTGCGCTCGGCTCAGGCCGTTGCATCCGAAGCAATCGCACAACCTGCCGCGGAGCGCTTGGATCCAGCTGCGGTTAACAAACAGGAACTACGCAAGAACTTTGCCAAAGAGCAGGCAAGGGAGCCTCAAAAGGATTCGCCCCTTTGGAAGCATGACAATGATGAAGCTGAAGCATGGACGCCGAGAGCTGCTCGTCGAAGGGGCTGACCCTCAAAATCCAAGACCTCACTTAGCCAGAGAATTGTCTCTGATACACGAGTTCCTCACTTTCATATTCTCTGACGGCATTCGCTAAGTATTCCATCACGCCTCGAGGCGGGTGATTCAAATAAAAGCGCCGTACTATATAGATGCATCATAATTCCGGCTTGCATGAGCCCCGTCCCCCGGCTTTCATCCCCTCCATCACGCGAGCGCCGTAAACTGCTCCCTGGATGGTATTGACTTTCCGGTCTTTTCTGCTATTCCTTAGGAATCTTGTGACTTTTATCCACAAACGATGGGATCAATCGACTCGTAGGCTGTGGTACATTTTTGCGCTTTTGCGTTCGAGCATTTCCTCCGGACACCCTGAAAAGAGAAGCGAAAGTCGTCGAAATACCGAGCCTCGACCGGTGAAACCCAGCTCGACCAGTACGACAGTGATCTGTGCCAGTCGACTCCCTCGACCACAGCTCACGCCGATCATTAGTGGCGACACTCCCGACATTGCCTCCCCGACATTCATCCCGATCGAAGTCCGCCAACCTACGATCCTTGAAGACACCGACGAATACCACGAAAACAGCTCCGGTTACCTAAATGCCGATGGTTCTTTCTTAGAGGATACCCTCCCGCTTTCGAGATCACCCGGGTTTCCAGGCTACCACGATGAACCTCAACCGATCCACGTCTTCCCACCTCCGAATCGAGAAGAATTCACCTCAAATTCCCCTGTGACCCCTTCGCGACCCATTTCTAGATCTTCTTCACGAAATTCTTATCATTCGTCATCTCCACATCCAGAGTACCGTCCAGGTAATCGCCCGCGGTCGTATCGACAGCCGTCCGAAAACTCCCACTATTCTCGGTCAATCCTTGACGGGTCAGAGGCAGCGGCGCGCGGATTTGCCCCCAGAGCCGTATCTCCAAGGCCTTCGTCCATCGCACTATCCGTTCGCCCACCATCTGTCGCGGGTTCCACCGCATCTCATGTGTATAGCGCTTCGAAGCCCACCGGTCGTGTACCACGGCCGTCTCCAATTAGCAATGCCCCTCGGCGCAGGAGCAGGTCGCGCACCCCTGCATCAGCTCGCCAGAGCGTGCATGAGGCCTACCCAGACGTTCATATTCAGGAGCCGCCTCGGCCTGAGTCCCAAACGACTGGATCTGGATCCGTTCATTATGACCGTAACAGTGTTATTGTAGGCTTCGGCCCCTTGCCAGCCCCAAAGCCGGAGGGCAAGCTGCGTCCAATGTGTGAAATCGACAGATACGAGAAGCATCAGAAGGTGGTCGTCCCTGGGGCGGCTAATCAACATGTGTGTCACCCTGTCACTACGGAGTTCCTCCGGTGGGTTTTTCGGTTTTCCCAGCGGTATATCGAGTGTATGTTTACATTAATTTCTAGAGAGTCTCTTCCCGAAAAATGGGTCGCTCTCATGCATCCTGAGGGTGCGTTGTACTGGGTCCACGAGAGAGATGTGAGTCCCTGCGCTCACACACGCACTTCAATCTGACGAGAAACGCCTCAAGCCAATCTATACCGACACAAACATGTGCGATCAGGATCTCCGACAGCGGATAGAAGAAGCTCTCGAGGAAATCGACAAGTTGAGGAATAGCTGTCCGCCGCTACCGCAGGGTGATTGGGAGCTCGCGCTGGAGCTAGGGGAGGATGAAAATACTGGGGAGCCTATCTGCTCGTACTACTTTGCCCGTCCCTCCACCCGTTGCATCTTTTGGCTGCACGATTTCGACCTAGAGAGCGTCCTGGGAGGCCTGCGCGGTGTGACCGAGTGGCCTCATATCCGTGAGTCTGCCCCTACGTCATGTTGAGCTCTCGAACGCTAAACGTGCGAGTAGACCTGGCATTACAAACTCAGTATTGGTGAGCGCCTTGACTTGATCACTGACTTAGTGGCTGACGGCCGCCAGGAACCACTGGGAGATGTACCCACACGACAGGGAAATTTCCGAACACCTGTTCCAAGAACTTCTTGGGATCTTGGTCCACGCAGGTGTTGGTAAGTCACTAGTCAGAGTCATCATCGAATGTGGCTCACCATTGGCCCAGACTGTATGACTTCCTCCAACTCAACCGCGGCTTATTCGGAAGGGGAGCTCAACAAGCTTCTGGGCTACGTGGGACATCTCAAATCTGTTGGGAGTGACTATGGTTTTTCTGCTTGCATAGTCGGTAAGCCAAACACCAAGCGCCCCGCCCCCCTCTAAGTTTCACTCACGGTT